ATTATATTTATTTGTATTTAAATCATAACTGAACAATGAGTGGGACAGACTTTGTGACTTGTCCTTACAACAGAAAGGTAACAATGACGGCTGGGAGATGCAGGCTTCACCAGAAGTCTGCATTTAATTTTATTTATACATGTTTAAATGGTAAAAACTGAGACTTAGACATTCTTCTCTGTGGGAGTCTGACCGCCCAGAGCGAGTGAACAGAAATTCTCACCTGCTCGACTTTCAGTGACCTGGAGCTCCTCCTCTGTGCAAATCAAAGCTATAATAACGGATGATGCACGTATGCAGCGTCCAAACACCTCCCATTGTGGCTCTGTAGACATACGTGTGACCTAGAAGCACGGCTACAGTCATCGACATCATCATGACCTGTGAAGCATTAATTACACATGAAATGTGTGAACCATCAATGCTCCTAACTTTTTAAAGATGATCTTTTCAGGCCTTTTAGCTTTTATTGGATAGAGACAATGTAGATAGACAGGAAAGCCGAGTGAGAGAATAGAAATGAAGAAAGGGGTGCGTGCTGGGACTCGAACCTGGCCAGACTGCTCACCTACTGAGCTGAACTGGTACCAATGTGTTTGAATTATTAATGATATACTGGTTCTGGAATAAAAATACAAACAGAGTTTTGTTATGTTTGTCACGGAGTACGGCCCTTTGGTGTTAAATTCTGATTAACATACTAAATATGAACACACACACACACACACACACACACACACACACACACACACACACACACACACATTAAAAAAAAGTGTTCATAATTGACCCAAACATTCAATTTGTGACATCCTCAGTCCTCCAGACTCCTCTCTCCCAGCCGATCCACAAACCACACGCGCACACACAGCTCAACATTAATTTATATGTAGATGGAAATAACAGTGAATGATGTTTTTGATGATGCAGTGTTTGCTCACTTTTCCTTTTTACTGGAAACCACTCCACCCTCTTTTATATATTTGAATCAGAGGATAAATGCTTGAAATGACTTCAGCTGTTTTAAAATTATTGATCTGAAAAGAAAAGTAAACATAAAACATTTGTTCCAGATTTCTGCATCTGATTTTATTCTGTTAGGGTTTCAAACTGCAAACTTCTCACTCTGGTTAATCAGCCTTTTCTTAGAAAATTTTTTTTTTCCATCATCCAGCAGGACGAGATTCAGTTACAGAAATTATGAAAATGTTAATTAATTCCTTTTGTGTCCTAATTGAGGAATTTTGCTGTGGAAAGTTTCCAACAGGATCGATGTGACGCTGCAGCACAGCTGGTCTCAGATATTCACTGGTGAGACAATCACTCTCAGATGTGAGATTCAGGGAGGTGAAGGAAAGGTGTGGAAATATGAATGGACAGCACCCAACACAAACAGCCCTCCAACATCCAGTGAATACAGGATCAGCAGAGTTTCAGTGTCCCACAGTGGAGACTACAGATGTCGGGGTAGCAGTGACTATCTCTTCACAGGATGGAGTGATGCCTTCACACTGACAGTTTCATGTAAGCTGGTTTACGATTCAAACTGAAGTTTCCTGTTTTCTGTGTTAAACTCAACATCAAGAAACAATTCAGACCCTCCAAGAGACTCACTGTGCAAACAGACTCACAACTGAGTGCACTGTGACAATGATTTATTTAAAAGGGAATGTAAAGAGATGATAGTTTTAATGAATAAATAATAAATCAGGTGCGTCTGTTGTGTAGTTTTGAGCTAAGGCAGATCGCCTGTGTGAGATTATAACCTTGTGTTTGGTACCAGTCAGAGTCAGAGACACACTGAGAGCAGAAAGCACAATCACAGCAGTGATACCAGCAGTTCTTCAGTCTGTTTGTCTTTCAGTGAGGTCACATTAAAACCACCAGGACACAGTTTATGAAATTTGGGGGATCAAGGCCAAAGAAAGAAGCCATTTCATTTCACTGTGTGTAGCTGGTCTGGCCTCACACTGTTGCTGCAAACTGTGTTGTGTCAACGAGGAGATGAGTCAGCTGTTGCTTTGCCTGCTGAGTTTATTCTCCAACACTGTTTAAATAAAAATCAATTCAGTTCAGCAACTTCATGTGATTGGGCTTCTACATGCACAGCTTTGAAAAAGAGAGCAGGAAGGAGAGCAAACAGCCACCTGCTCAGTATAAGGCAGTGTCTATGAGTACAGCAACAAAGATTAGAACCATCTATCACTTTTACTGTGCTTAACCTCTGTAACAGGATCATTAGCATAATCTCATCTCTCCCCAGCAGGGCCTCCTTCAAAACTACAGGAAATGACATTGTGGGAAGTCAAAGGTCACAAAGAAAATGAAAGCTTTCAAATACAAAATAAATACACAAAATAACTACATACATATTTATGACTTCGGTATAAAAAATAATGACAAAACCAACTAACAGACAATGGATTCTCTGTGAAATATAAATAAATATATTTTAATGCACGTCTTACATGTGGATGCAGATTACTGTTTACAAATTGTACAAAAAAGTTTCTTTACTATAGAAAAACTTTTGTCCGTCGAGTTTTGACTTTCTTAGGAAGCTGTTTAGATTTTCCTTTATCCCTGCATTAAGGCTTTGTGTTTCCACTGGAAGTAAACGTCTCTTTTTAAAAAATTGCGCAGTGTTGCATTCTGGGAAATAGAGTCGAATTTGAAGCTTGGGTTTAAAATGAAGACCTGTAATTATCAGGGGCTATGCTTCTGTAATTGTCGCCAGTTCTTTTTATGTATTTTGGTTTGAGGTTTGTGCAGATTTTCAGGAAAGATGTTTGGCCTCATGAGCACCAGATGCTGCACCTTTATTCAGGTCATAGAAGCCGAACCAAAGACCAGAAAATTGCCTCAGTTTATTACAGACACATCACTACAGTAATTTTTCTCATTACAAAGTTTTGCTCTCAAGAAGCACTCAGGTGTAAGACACTTCACCCGTTGCCTACTGGTGGTGGTCAGAGGGCCCGGTGGTGCCAGTGTCGCCTCTGTCAGTGCGCCCCAGGGTGGCTGTGGCTACAATGTAGCTTGCCATCACCAGTGTGTGAATGTGTGTGTGAATGGGTGGATGACTGTATGGGGTCATCCAGTCATCCCCAAGCGCTTTGGGGTCCTTAGGGACCAAGTGTGTGCCACACACACACACACATACGCATACACATACACAGACACACACAGACTGCTCTCCTAGTGGAACTCAGTCTGAGTCGAGTCCTTTTTTTCTCCTTCTGTCTCCAATATTGTGTATTTTCATTGCCTTTCTTAAATGCTACCTATTCTGACCTGCAATGTGATGTTTGTATAATATATGTAAGGTGGGAAGGGTCCATTTCCACTGCAGGAAACTGGAAGTGACAAATATGGGCTTCATTCATTTGTTCATAAACACGGAGTCACCAGACCATGACAAATTACTTTTTAAATACTGCAAAGAAAGTATAAAAGTTTTACAGTGTTGATAAAAACGAGTTTAAAGTTTATTTTATCTTGTATATAAATCCAATCCATTATTATTATTATTATTGTCATCAAGATTTGGTCATGTTCACCATTTCCATCTAGTTTTTTAAATTATTTAAATTTAAAAATAATTTAAATAATTTAAATTGTGGCTCAAGAGTTGGGAGTTCGCCTTGTAATTGGAAGGTTGCCAGTTCGAGCCCCAGCTTGGACAGTCTCGGTCGTTGTGTCCTTGGGCAAGACACTTCACCCGTTGCCTACTGGTGGTGGTCAGAGGGCCCGGTGGCGCCAGTGTCCGGCAGCCTCGCCTCTGTCAGTGCGCCCCAGGGTGGCTGTGGCTACAATGTAGCTTGCCATCACCAGTGTGTGAATGGGTGGGTGACTGGATGTGTAAAGTGCTTTGGGGTCCTTAGGGACTAGTAAAGCGCTATACAAATACAGGCCATTTACCATTTACATTTAGATTCAGTCATTTATTTGTTTGTTCTTTTTCTAAACTGAACTGCAGATAAACCAAAGGCAAAACTGAGAGCTGATAACACAGCTGTTCCAGTAGGGGGCAGTGTGACCCTGACCTGCTCTGTGAACCCATCATCATCATCTGGATGGAAATACTACTGGTACAGAGATAATACCACAGTGGATGTTGTCCCTACATCAAATGGACAAATCAGTGTCTCACAGGAAGGACTCTACAGGTGCAGAGGAGGAAGAGGAAACCCAGTTTACTACACAGAGGACAGCCAAGAAGTTCAGATTAACACAACTGGTGAGTTTGGATTCAGCAACAATGTTGAATAGATTGATGATTGAGGGTTACTATGAAGGTCAAACAGGATTATATCTCATGGTAATCTCTTTGGAATTGTAATAATGTTCATATTGGAAATAGTTGAACATAAATAGTCATGTAAAATGTGGAGTCTAGAGAATCAGTGTCAGGAATGTGATCCAAGGAGGGGAGACTAGGTGGGATTATGAATGTGAAACAATCATTTTTAGCAAATCTCCAAATCAACATAAATTCACAATTAGTTCTGTAACAACTCTACAAGTAACACTGGAAGTAGTGTAGAACAGGAGTCACAACATGAAACCACAGAGCAGAGTCATGCTGACAGTTTCTGACAGGAAACAGAAAATCTCAATGTAAACATCAGTTTTTGTTTCTTTATATTAAGATTTTAGATCCAAAATCTGACATTTTCTAGTTTCAGGTTTTGGATGTGAAAGAAGTTCATTTATCGTTCCGTTCATCATCGGACTTGTTAGTGGAATTATTGTCGTGCTGCTGCTGATGTGTTGCTATAAACAGATAAAGGGTGAGAGACTTTCTGTTTGAATTTTTAAAGGAAAAATAATTTATTTTGATGCTGTGACACTTTTAAACAAACTGATGTAATAATCTTTGTGCTTTTTACAGATCCCTGTTGCAACAGGTTGGTGCAGCAGTTTAGTTTCATTTATATAACTTCAAATGAAGCTAACTTTGAATTATTCCTCATTAAATTTTCATTATTTGTTTCAGACTCACTCAGTCTCAGAGCACCAATCAAAGCTCTGCTTCACAACAAACATCCAACCAGAATGAAACTCAGGTTTACTCCTCTCTTCTTCATGGTGAGACCAGAAATTATTACTTTTCTCTTTAATACAGTTTTCAACACTCAGTTTTCCAGCAAACAGTGACAAAAACAAAAAGAAATAATATTTTTCTTCCTTCTTTCTTATTTTCAATGACTTGTAGGTGATCTTTCAGTCTATGAATCAATCAGAGGCTCTGGAAACACTGGAAGTGGTACAAACAGTATAAACTTTGATAATAGCAGAGCTGTAAGAAATGTAAATATTTATTCTGACTGATCAAACTTCATTATTTCAGCAGATGAATACAACAACGTCACATCTGGATTTCAGCTTGAAGGTCTTGATAAAAGGAGTGAGTACAAGAAACATGAAATGTAATAATTGGTCGAATGTTTTTGTAACTTGTGTAATTTTAGAGGAAGACAGTCTCCATGTTATTAAACACAATAATCCATCATCACAACAGGCAGACATGATGGCACAGAGGAGAGTTCTGACTACAATAATGTGAATCCTGAATCAGCCTCAGGTGCAAATGTGAACTCTACAGACACTGAATCATTAGTAATCAGATTACATGTGCAGTTAAATGTGTGACATCATTGCTAAAGTTTGTGGAGCTGATGAGCTGAATCACTTTTTATACGATTGGCTTTAGTTGTGTTCTGCTGCTGTTGTGATGTCTGAATAAAATAGATGAGATCAGTTCTGTGTGATTAAAGCATGAACGTGTCAGAAAGCATCATCACATCTTTGGCAACATTATTTCTTTGTTTTTCACTTTCAAACTCGTATTTGTTCTGATTTTGTTTCAGGTCCATAAAAAGATTATTTCAACAAAACTCAAGACTCACGAACAACATGAGCAACGTCAGTGTAAACAATGACATGCTCTTGGTTTAATATCAACACTGGAAGACTGATTATATGGTTCATCTTTGTATTAAAATCCTATTGTGTTTATTTCTGTTGTAATAAGTGGAGGGTGGATGGTGTGGGACATTGTTTCCGTCAAGACACAATTTCATGATTTGGTTCTGTGAGTTTGTTTCAGTCTCTTTGTTTTATTTCTATAAGATGTTCACTCACTTCCTGCTGAATTTTACATGTTATCTTTAAAGTGTAAGAACAGATTATTTTAGTATTAGGGATTTAGTTGTAGATAGTAAAGCATTATATCCGTTATTCATTTAAGTAGGCCATAGGTCAAGCTGCTAAACACTCACACATAGAGCAGACACACAGAATTGGGAGAATAAGTCAGAGGTGTATGTGAGAAGCAGAGGCGACAGAAAGGAGAACACAGTGTGCGAAGAAATGGGCAGCAAGGACACGAGAAAGGGAGACAGCAGATAGAGAGACATTAGCAGGCGCCTAGTTTTGAGAAGACAAAGGTTGTTGACCTCCGTGTGCTGTTGGGACTGCCCCAGCAGATTTTGATGATTGATGCTGAACTGTGAAAATCCCCATGTACATGTAATAAAATTAGTTGATTATTTGTTCTGAGAAAAAACAGGAATGAAATATTACACTGTCTTATGATGCATTATAGTGCAGATTTATAAGAAAACAAAAACTTATTGTCAATGTTCAGATTTTACAATGTTATTCATGTCATCACTGAGGCCATGACAGAGAACATTTTGTGTGTGATCAAATTGTTTTCTGTAGGTGATGTTTGTGTCTTTTATGATGCTTACAGTTTAATGTGCATCAAATAATTGTGGTGCTTTTAAAAATAATCAAATAATATCACGACAAAACGACTTTGTTCTTCTGAGTGACCCGTGATGCTTACATGTGTATTAAAATGTAATTTCTAACTGCAATATGTTATTTATTAATCTTCTGAAAATGACTCATGATTTGTATCTGAGCCCCCAGAAAATAAGAAAAGCAGCCTGTGGTTGAAGAGAAAAAGTAAATGACTTGTTTTAGCAAAGAGGCAACAAGAAATGCAGACAATAACAGCACAGTGTTGTTCTCTTGACAGCTACATGCTGATATTGTCAGATATAAATATAAAGTATTTCCTTAGTTGAAGGGATAAAAGTGTCAGGTGTGCCCCTGTAGCACTGCACTTGTTCTCTGTGTGGACTGCACATTTTATATGATCTACCTGTACTAGGAAAAATACCACACTGTGACAACTGATGAAAACTCTCATTTAGAAAAATATCAGACAAAAATACAGTGCCGAACGGTACAGACAGAAAACAGCAGATATCATTGTTCAAAGGTAGGTCCTTTAAAAGACCCTTTACCAGGTATCATAATCTTGTCTGTAAAAGTGTCAGAAATCATACTGTAAGTGACAGCTTTTGCCCTTTTTCCCCCCAGAAAATCCTCAGCTTTCAACACCTGGCAGTCGTTATACTTTATTGTATTCGTATGACAGTGGAACAACAGTGGAGAAAAAACAGACTGTTTTTTCAGATTTATAGTGAAGTGGAAACAGATTTAACATAAATGAAATGTAATACAACATCAACTTTGAATATGAACTATACTAGTACAAAAAAGTATTTGAGCCTAGCCCACTCATTTTTTGTATATCCTTCTTTTTATATTGCAAATCTCTCTCTATTGTGGAGAGCCAAGTGCTCCACGTGTCATCATTACTTACCTGTGATTGGACCGTGCATTCTAATGATGCACCGTAAAGTTTCGTAATGTTTTTCTTCTCATCTTTCAGTAACCGTTTCTCTCTAGCCCAACTGGTGGAGAGATACAGTAGTGCGAGTCACCCTGGTAAAACCAGCCAAGTGCAGCGTTTCAAAGAAATTTCCCTCGTACCATCGCAGTACTGGTAATTTTTCTTATACAGAAAAATTACCAGTAGCAGTACCAGTATACCATTTTTTTTTCATTCCAGAGGTTTTTAAGTTATTTTTTGTTTTGTACTTCTTGCCTAAAAGCCTATATCACATTTTTTATTTCACCATTCATTGATCGCACAGAGAAGGCATCGTTTAAATATGTTAAATTTTTCTTTAAACAAACAGTATTAAGAAAATTCTTCATGACTGGGCGAAGTGTTTTGGAAATCAAACTATGCTTACAGTATTGTGATTGTACCGTAATACACCAAATATCCCTGTAAATCTCAGCTTCTCTTCTTTTCTAAAGCACATTCTCCGCTGGTGGGCCCATGGTAAATAAGAGTAAGTGTCAGTGTGGACATAACGATATAGTTCCTCTCCCATATTTCTCATGTCAGACTCTGAACACATCTTCCAAGTACAATCACAGGACTGTGTTTACAGCTGGTGGCCAATAGAGGGAGACATTAATCCATTTATAATTTATTGTATCTGTCATAGTCTCCCAGTCCTCCTGGTCAACCAACACGTTCTTTTTCCTTACGAGTGTAATGAACTCGATACTTTACTTTCTGTTTCTTTCCTGTACGCACTGCTGCAGTTCCATCTAAGAAGCAACCTGGCTGTCTTAAAGGTCATGAACATTCATTCAGAATTAGCAACACTGATGATGGTAATTATTAAAAAGTATTGGTACTGGTATCAGTATCAGCGATATAGGCCTGGTCTTTACTTGGTATTAGATTGATACCAAATCTTGCAGTATTGCACACGACTAATAAGTAGTGATATTAAATTCATTAAACTGATATTATTTCAGCACCATGGACAGCACACAAGGTTTTCACTGCATGAGCTGTGCTCTCTAACACGTGACTGTTTGTAGTGGTGGACAAATTTAGCTGCATGCACACATAGCTCTCTCTGTGATAGGTTAATAATTTTAATTAAAAAATATATGTATATTGATTATTGGCTGAAAGTGATTAAAATTTTTAATATTGTGACACAGTGGGTCCGCACTCTGGAAGGGAGGGGACCATCCGAAGAGGCATACACCTGCTGAATGGCCTCCACAACCCTGTGGGACAATCGAGACTTAGACAGGGGTCTGACCAGAATTCCATAGTGGAAGCTCACAAACGGCTGGTCTGACTTCCTGAACGGCCGGATAAGCAAGAAGTTCTGTGCCAAAGCTCAGAGATGGCACAGGGCAACCTGGCTCCCAGCTGCCTCCTTGTGCAGGTCCCCTGTGAGGAATATTCATAACTCCACTGACTTGGACAGGTGAAATTCAGATGGGGTCGTCAGCAGCAACCCAGGGTTAGGCCCGAGGATAACCCCTGTGTCACCTTCATCATTGCCTTTGGACCGACAGAGTAGGCAGCTCACAAAGAATCATGTTAACTGTGGTCTGGTGGGGGTCCAGCTGGTGGGCCGCACACCAGGAGGCAAACAGCCCCCGAAGGAAGCAGTAGGCAGTCCTGGTGGATGGCGCACAAAACTCCTGCAGCATTCTCACTTTTAGATCAGGCCAGGCATGGAGCCTCTCCCTCTCAGGGTACAGGCTGTCACCCTGAGCCCTACTGGGAAAAGATGGAACAGTGACCCCCTCACCTGGGACAAGAGGTCCCTCAGAACAGGGAGCTCCGGGGGTGTCCTGGTCATGAGTGGCAGGATAGCTGAAAACTAGCATGTAGGGCCAAAGAGGGGTCACCAGGATCAACTCCTCGGTCTGGACCTGGTGAAGTAATAACTGGAGGAGTGGTATGGAGGGAAGGCATAGAGAAGAGCCTGTGGTGAGGAGTGCACCAAGTTGTCTGCAGGTAGAAGAACAGATGACAATGTGTTGATTCTCTGGGGGAAAAAAACTTCTGCCCCTCTGAAGTAACTCCAGATCTGGTGGACCACATCTGGATGGAGTCTCCACTCCTCTTGGATCGGGCTCCCCCTCAAAATATTGTAATGTCCACTGTCACGTTCAATGGTCCTGGCACATAAACTGCTTTCAGTGAGTAGAACGGGGTGATCCCACTGCCACAGTCTGGTAGCTATCATGCAGAGGAGGGGAGACCCTCGGCCCCCTTACCTGTTGATGTAGGCTACTGTGACTATGCTTTCTGTCTTGATGATAACATGGTACCCTAACAGTCACGACAGAAACTGCTTGAGTGCCAGGATGACAGCTTGCAGCTCCAGCATATTTATGTCAGAGACGCCCAATGACTGATATAAGAGCTGTAGACTGTAGAGCCCTCAGCCTCAGGAGCTGACCCCACGAGTGAAGCCCAAATGGGTCTAGGCACACCCCGAAGGTCTGCTGTCAATTCAGGGTGAGGGACATGGAGGCTCTGTTGGACTCCACAGTCATGCCCAGAAATTATGTGATGTGGGAAGGCTGCACATGACATGAGCAGAGCTACATGGCTGCAAAACTGTCCTTTAGTGCAGCAGAAGGATACGGCTCAATGCAGTGGGAGAAACTCTCACTCACTGGGTTAACAGCCAGTCAGCCACAGAGAGGACCCACTAGCCACGTGAATGCACTGACAGAGGTGTTCTGACTTTCATGCATGTTTCTCACACAGCATGCTGGTGTTCTTGGCTTCTTGGTCTTATGGGGTGCAGATACTCTCTCAGCACAGTTTACCACACTGCTGGGTGTTATATACACTAGTGTATTCAGCTTTGCTGTAATGTTTTGATTCTGGGTCTCATCATGATGCACTTTGCTGGTGTTTTTGATTATTGATTTTGATGTTATGAAGATTAAAGGCACAACTTCACAAATCTAAATACAAACACACACACAAAGAAGAAAAAAGGAGGGTGATGATGTTTCAGATTAATATTAATTGACAGATGCCTCAGCGTGTAGACAAGACTACATATGACATGTGAGTCTAGTGGTTCGGGTCACCCTTTAATTCTTTTCTGACCCCCCTTTGTTCTTCTGAGCAGACTGTGATGACTTCATGTGTGTAAAAGACTGTTACTGGTTTATTTTTATCTGCTGAAAATCTGATATCACAAAATTTCTGTCTGGGCC